GGGGGTCCTCCAGTAAAAACAAAGATGCAGACACACTGTTTGTCTTTTCAGCATACTTAAAGATTCACCTGGTATCAAAAACCTTCTTGTAGCTCTTTCTCTTCAGCTCTCACCCTTCTCATGGATAAATTCAGGGTGGCTACAGACTGAGCACAAAAAGCATTTAGAGGCTTAGTTCCGGATTTGTGCTGGCTGTAGACCTTTTAATTCAAAGGCACAGCCTCAAAAAAGTCATTCCTGGAGGTGACTAAATGTGTTAGGTGCCTCTCTATTTCTTAAAGATCCTATCTGCTTAGATATGTGCTCCCATCATCCCTGGCCACGCCTGGGGGGATGCCACTTCAGAGCCTTCTTAAGATGCCACTGAAGGCTTTTGACAACTATTCTGAGCAAAGACCCCATTTCCTCTAAAGCATAAGTGATTCCCATTAATTAGAAATGCAATACCAAACAGGGGAGACACATGATCTGAGTTTTGACAGGGAGTCCTTTTTTTCCAAGTACTTGGAAAAATTTGGGGGTTTCAAAACTTACAGGTGGACTGGATGAATCCAGGCAGCAAAGTGCAACAGTGCCTTTCAAGGGTTTAACTTGACTGGTATGTTAATATTGCCTAAACAAGACAGAAATGAGGGGTGTGAAGTAATGGATCAAACCTGGTATCAGAGCTTCACGTAACTCTTACATAAAGTAGTAAACAAAAGTATGAGCTAGCCATAATTCTCTCTGAAGGTTTTTAAAAGAAGGTGGAGGAGAGAGTGTGTACCTCTCTACTGTCAGAAATGCAGTCGGATCGGAAGCACTGGGATTTTCCACTATGGCATGCCATCAGCATGTCAAGCATGACACTGATGAAAAGTGGTAGTCCGTGCTCCGACAGGTGTCCTGACCCAGTAGTTTTGGGAACCAAGTATGTAATGGGAGGCAGGGTTTCAATTGCCTTTTTCATGCCTCTCTATACCTTTTTATTCCTTACATTTAATTGCTTTCTTACCCTCAGCTTCACCTAATTGGATTCTAGGCATGTCTTGTGACACCTCTGCAAAGTTTCTAGGAGAAGATTGTTGCTATACCCTCTGCTGTTATACCCTTGAACCATATTGGAATAATTAAGGGCACAGGCATGAGTTTTTCTGGAGTTGTAAGTGTGTTGGCTGTTGGCTATGGCAGCACAGAAAGCAGAGAAAGCATAATAGCAGAGAAAGCAAGCTCATTTTGTAGTAATAAAGATGCTTCAAGGGGTTCAAATTTCGTGGATGAGGACTAGACTGCACTGGTGGAGAGCAGAGAAGCAAAGTCTGTCGGTAAGCAGTCAGCACTGTCAGCTAAGGGGTAGCTTCAGCTTTGCTGAAATTTTTTGAGTATGCTGAACCAGAGAAGTCCCATTCTCTCCCTACAAGCCCACTGCCTGGGAACTCCAGGCAGCTTTAGTTTCTGGAATTTTATACGAAGCAGCATGGTGGTTGTCACTGTAATCTTAGCAATAGATTGGAATACAGTAAGAATTACAGCCTTTGCCAGCATAAAACATTGCTGAGATTTGAGAAAGTTGCTTAGTGGCTGACTATTGCCTTCCTCTGTTCTGCTGGTATCAGGAAGATTGATTGATGTCTGTTGTTACTCCAAAGACACAATATGCCAGAAATCATTTACAGATTAAAGGACCTGAGCTTGATGGGCAGAACTGAGCTGAGTGAGGCATATTGATGCTTCTCCATCTATGTGACATTACCATGTTTCTGGATAAGACTGAAAGTCACAGAGAAATAGATTTGATTCATGGCAGCCTTTACCCTTAATGACAATCCCCGTGCCTTTTAATGTGTGCATTTTAATTAGGTGCTGCAAAAGGCATATCTGGTTGTATGCAGGCATAGCCTGTGTTTATCTGCTTCGGTCCATTGTTACCATCTTAGTACCTGGAGTCCCCAGAAGAGGGAACTGACTGGCCAGCAATCAGTGCAAGAGATCAATTTTTTTTCTATCTGTCTCCTTCCAAATCTCTTTCTTTCTGATAGCTCTGCAGGAAGTGGCCAGAAACCTGAGTACATTTGCCATATGGAGACTGAGTTTCAGATGTTGTGTTAGATCAGTCTCCACCATTTATTTATTGTAGGCTGGAATGTTTTGCCTGCCTGTGTCATGGCCAGTTTCTCAATGTGGGAAGGACTCATAAACCCCAGGATCTGCCTGGGTGTGACTGGCCTACTCTGCTAATGAGTAGATAACTGATAGTACACTGAGGGTTTATTATATGTCAATAAAGAGTTTAGATTAATGGATTACCTTGCAAATTCTGTGTGAAGTCTTTATAAAGCTCCAGCTTTGCACTGGGAGCATAGAGCTCTGACAGCTAAGCAGTCTGAGTGCTAAGAAGAAGAAAGTCTGAGAGACACAAAAGAAAGACAGAGAAAGACCAAAGCCAGAGAAAATAAAATATATTCAGGTTAGGAAAGGCTATACTTTGCAGACACTATGAAAGGCTTTCTTTCCTTTGCAGTCCTTGCAGTCCTTTTACTGGTGCACATCTCTCAGGCAGTCTACGTTCAGGTGAGTTTTCTGCTCTTTAATTTGTTGGTATTACAAGTTCAACAAAGTACTGATATTATGTGAAGTGTGGCTGCAACAGGAATCTTGACTTAAACGAATAGACCTGAATGTTTGCTTTGCTCTGGCGTGGTATCCAACTTCATCTCCCTATGGTTCAGTTTGTCTTTCTGTAAAATGCTTCAGTTATTACTAACATGCTGCTACAGTTTAATCAACTTCACCACCCATATCACTGCTCTGAAATCCCTTGCTGACCGAGGCATTGCATTTCCAGAGGGTTTTTTTGCACATAACTGCATGTGTTGTGAAGCTGGAAGAACTGGGGACACCTCTAACTTTATAGAATGATGTACAAAAACAGAAGTTGTCTTTTCTCACCTGTTTCTAGGCAGGAAGTTCTTGATGAAATGCTCTACAAGCTTATGTGATGGAGCCTACACACATATCACATATAAAAAAAAAAGGTGAAAGAAATTCTTAGCTAGATCCAATGAAATAGTAATAGGCAGATAAGCTATTAGAGGAGGCTATACCAAATTTTCCAAAATACACAGCACCTGTGACTGATACTACATGCAACATGGAAGCAGTTAAGGTACTCTCGCGCTCTTGTCTGTACTTGGAAGTGTGTTGGATCTGTCTGCGCTCATCCTTAGTAACAGTTTGGGATGTTTCAGTTTGATTGCAATGTAAATAACTTCCTCAGAGTACCAAGAGAACGAATATTTCTTAAACAATTATTGACTCTCTCTATATGTGTGCAGTAGGTTTCCAGGGATAAGGTACTATCTTTGTGCCTTGAAATATCCTCTTTTTCTCCTTTGGATGTCATAGATATTCAGAGATAGCAGGTTTAAGCTATTCCTTTCTTCCAAACCATTCTTTAACATTTAGAGCCTCCAGGGGAACAGATAGCTTCCTACTTAATAAAAAAAAATCTCAGTTTCCACTTTGAGGCATAAAAAATTAACTAAATGAGAATAGCTGTTTCTAGGTTGAGTAAAAATGTAGAAAGTGTAGCTCTGGAGTTTTAGCTCCTCTTTGTAGTTTGAATTCTTATCTCATTAATCATTAAATCTGTATTTTCCTTAAGTCTGACTAATTACTCAGTGCACAAAGGTGGCTTATGCTCTTGTCCTCTGAAATTCTTCCTGACACTTCCCTTCCCTCTCCTGTAATATGCCCGAAGTTGTTAGTTTAACAAAATGTTCTGCAAAGTTCGTTTGACTTCATATCATGTTTTAAAAGACTGAGTGTCACTATCTCAACACTTTCCATCACAGATCTTGAATGAATATAATGGATATTGGAGGAAGATGGTTTACTAGGTGTAGAATAAAACCAGAAAAACTACAGAGATGGATTGTTCTGGCCTGCACTATTTCTGTGATAAAATCTCTTAGTTCAGCAACACAGTATGCACTTTCACCTTGGAGAAAAGATGCTGCTCAGATTGAGCTCTCTCTAATACATCTTTCCCATCTGAGGTGGGAGGGTGTTGGGTTTTTTTTGTTGTTCCTTTGTTGTTTTTTGTCACCAGAACATATACATCTTGGGGTTCATTCCTACTTTCTGGTTTCTCTGAAATTGCACCTGTGGAAATCCATTCTTTTTTTGTTCTCTGTTTTATGCTTTTGAGGTCTGTGACCAATATCTGAATCCAGAACTACATTTATACAGGAAAAGTTAATTTTTCATAGGCAACCATGACTAATAAATTAAACCAAGTAAAATCACAAATTGATTGCAAGTAGAAAAGAGTTTGACTTTGTTAAGTAAATGTATGTCCAGAGTTTATCTGGTTGGGTTTTTTTAATTCTTTAACACCAAAATTCTGTGATTCTGTAAAAAAACCCCACAAACCAAAACCAACTCCCCCCCCCGCTGCCATGTCACACTATTCAACATTGGACTCATGAGACTATGAACCAAGCAGCAGTATTTGGTCTCATGCTGTATCAGAGTCACTTCACTTTATTTCTTTGAATGAGTAGGTGTTACTTGATCATCCTACTGACTACATGTTCGTCATTAAATGAGGTTAAATCACATGCTAAAGATCAATTTGAAAATGCTTATTTCTCTTCTGGGCCAGACTCTGGCTATCTGCAGACATACATAGACTTTATGCACCTAGCTTAATAATTGCAACATGTGCAATTTAAGTTTATGACCTCAACAGTGGGATTCACTCAAAACTGAGGGAATGGCCATTAACAGATACACAGGTTCTAGCAATCTACAGCATGGAGTAATATTTCCCAGAATGCTCTCCCGGCCTCCTGAAGCTTTTGGTATGAGCTTTGAGTCAGAAGCGTTATATTTATGCTGCAATTTGTGTTCCATTAATTGTGTGGACAAGTTTTAAGTTCATGGAAACTTGTCACAGTACCTTGGGGTGAGGCTTTTCAGCTCTTAACAATGTGTAATGTGAAGGAATATCTGCTTTTGTGTGGTTAGAGCCTGCCACATGACAGCCAACACTTGAAGTTCTTCACTGGTGTATTAGAAGAGTGAACAAAATAAATTCCCATTTACACCCATTCAACTCATGATTTTGTAAATCTCTACCACATATTGCCCAGTGATCTCTTTCTAGGCTGAAGATTCCCAGCCTGTATCTTTTGACCCCAGATTTTATGGTTCTCTCTCATGGGAGTGAAAATAGAGAAATGCAGTAATTCTGTCTCCGTCCACCGTGACACATAACGAAAGCCCTGACTAGCCAGCTATATCTCAGTGCTGCTCCAAAAGGTCTTCGCCTTGAAAGGCTGATCATTTTGCCTTCAATCAGCACCAATTTTATCAAGGCTTTGTTTTAACACTGTCTTTTCCCTGTAGTATAGTTTTTGGGAGAACTCATGGTTGAAATGGAATGGAATGGATTTCCCTAAGGACTGACTTCCTAATGCCTTTTTTTTCTGGTTCTGTCTACATAGGATGGAGACTTGAAATTCTCCCTTGAGTCCGTGAAGAAGCTAAAGGAGCTTATGGATGAGAACACACACATTAACCCTCGCATGGTGGTTTCAATGGCTAACTATTCTCCATGTGATGAAAAAGATCTCCCTGAGGAGTTCCAATCTGTGTGCAAAAGAGAAGATGCATCTATGATTTTTGAGAGGCTGAGTATGTAGCTCATATTGCATAGTTGCCATTTTTATCACACTTTTCAACCTTAAACATTCAAATAGCAGCAGGCAAAGAAGCATAATTACTGTTCTGTCACTTCTAAAGTAGCTGAGAGAGTCCACACTGCCTTTCTACTACCCCTCCTGCAAGGGTTGGACTACATTAGCTGTGAGCCCCCTGTGAAAAAATTCCTGCTGTGTTGTGTTTAGCTGTAGCCTTTACAGATCAGGGTGCTGTAGCCATGAAAAAGCTTCCTCCAAGTAGTTGCACACCAACTTACATGTCTTAAAGTGAGAGTGCCCATGATCTCCTCTGGCTTACAGGAAAAGCAGGGTTATATCACTCAGTTCTAGCTAACTACAAGTTGTAACCAGGTCTAATTGCTCTCTCTAATCAATGTAGAAGAAGGTGTTTTTCCAAGTAGCCTAAAAGAGGTGTGAGATGTAAATGAGGTCTTCGGCATGGTCTGTCTCCAAGACACACATAGTGATTCGTGAACTGTCTGCTACAGTGTCTACTTTTTTATTTTATTATGTTGCATAACCATTGTTATGCATAACCATTATGTTGCATTGTCCAACACAATGGACACTTTAGGAAGAAACACTACCAATATAATGAAAGTTGTGATTATACGAGCCACATCCCCAGCATTCTCGCACAATATGTCCTATTGTTCTCTTGCTCTCTCATGTTCCCATTGTTTCCCCAATGAATTCAGGTTTGATTTCATTCTTTAAGCCAGATTTTTCCAAGAACTAATTTTACTTATACCAGTAATAACTTCAGGAAACATTAAAACTTGTGAAACAGCAACGGAAAGGAGTCTCCAAATCCCTTGATGTTTGGTTCTGCTCTCCAAGAAATTCTATTGCCATCTCATTGAAACCCTCTTTTTTCTCTCTAACAAACAGGCCTGGCTGTCCAAGATGATTTGTGTGAAATCTGTGCCAATGCTGCCTGCGCTGGTTGCTTTTGAATAAAGATGAAACAATCCAAAGAAGATGTGTCAAGTCAGGAAGTTTGTGCATTCCTACTGCAAGATCACATACTTTCACAAATCAATATTTGGGCTCCATCTTCACCACAGTAAAACAGGAGCTGCTAGCTCATATAGACATGCCAGGGGTAGTCCTGAAATAGTCAGATCAGATGCCACCGGCAGTGCAGTTAGGGCAACAAGGAGACTGTAAACCTCATCTGAGAGGTTTCAGTTCTGCATGAGTTGTGTCACACTGGAACGAAAATGTCCTGGGCACAGGTTCATTTTCCACTATTATGTCTTGATTGGAACATGATGGGTGAAACTGAGCAGTCTCCTGCAGTCTTTTTAATATCTAAATCTGCTTGTGATTTGGACTCCCCTACACATAACACCCCACAGCATGGGGTTATCTTTTCCAGCCCATGCTTTCCAGTGTGTTGGATAACTATCTCACTTCCTGTAGGTCTGCATGTGTCATGTGTATGTTTGTAACAGAACTGCAGCAGGTAACTTGGGCACAAGTTCCTGGTGTTTAGCAACACTTTCGTAACCAGAAATTTCTCAGCCTGTTACTTGTACTAATTGTTGCCAATTTAGGGAATGGATGCAGAGGAGCACAGGAACACTTCCTACATAGTTGTATGGAAGTTCCCTTCTTTTGGCAGATTTTCATGTTCATTAAGCTCTGTTTAGGAGAAAGGAAGTCCAAACTGCAATGCTGGAATCACTTTGAAATTAAAATATTGCCTTGTGTTTTTATTTATTGGTGGAAAGGTTGTGAAGAAAGGATCTGCCCCTGTTTATATGCTATATATGAAATAAAAGCTAGTAATAATTTGGGATTGTGGTTTATGGTTTTGTTGGGTTTTGAGCTGAGTTCTTTTTGTGATAGTCTGCTTGCCTACTTGCTTTTCTCCTATATAAGGTCTTTCTTGTCTGGGTGTTCACTGGAATAAAAGATATCTTGTTAATATTGTCCTGAATTTAAAACAATTTGTGGTCCTTATATGGATCATAGTGATATAAGACTACATCATAGCTTTTAAATTATTCCCTTTTACTTTTAACTGTTGAATTATTATTTCTATTTTGTATATATGGGCCCTCAACTCAGCAACGAAGTTCTCAAAAGACTGTCAATCCTATAAAGCTAAGGAGTTATCCCAGCAACTAGGTGCCTAAATCCAGAACTGATGTTTGAAAAAAAAAAAAAAAAAAATTAAGTGTATAGATCCTTTTTCATTTGACAGAAAAGTTATATGGGTGCAGAAAAGAATTCCTCACATCCAGTATGTTGCCTACTCCAGGACAATAAACATTAAACAGCAAATACCAAAGAGACAGTCTCACACTAAGGCTCTTCTGCTGCCTTGAAATTGGCATCTCTGGGAAACTGGATTCCTGACTCAAAACACTACCTGGGCTTATTTTAACCCTAAAGTTATTTCTTTACATATAGAAATGTGGCTTATTATTTTCTCTTAAAACTAACTTGACAAATAGCACAACAGCTTGGAGTGGCTCATGTAGAGAGGACAGATTATGCATTTTGCAAGAAAGACTTACTAGCAACAAGGCTAGAACCAAGATCTCCCTGCTGATACGCTCCCAGTGTTCAAGCAGGGTGAGAGGACTGGACTGGAGACCCTTGTGTGTGTTGTCCCACAAATCATCTGCCCCTTTATATACAGTGGCCTGCCATCAAAAGGAACACCACAGACTGCTTATGGCCTAGTATGTAGAGCGCTGTCTTGACATACAGAAAAAGGGGGCTAAAGGAGGGCCTCCAACCTCCGTTTTGCACTTGCTGGATGAGATTTCTAATAATTGGGGGATTATACAGAATGAGGTTTGAGTCCCTGGGGGGGAAGAGGGAGAGAACACAATAAAAGAAACAAAACAAGAAAGCCAAGAAACAACAGGCTGGAGTGGAGTTCCAGTTTTGTAGCAGGCTGTAGAAAGCCCACTAGAGAAACCATATTTTGAGGACTTGTGTTTCCCAACAGTCTCTGGGAACTGGGGCTGTAGGCACCGCATGCTCAGAGCAGAGCAAAGGTTTCATCAGGCTGGGTTACCAGCTTGGCCACTGACCCACGGTCACCTGCACACAGTCTGTGGGAAACGTCTTGCAAGCTTTGTGCTTGTGCAGAAACCCCAAGCTGACTTGCTGAACTGCTAATGCTGCGGTAAGAGACATACTAGCCACTGGAGGTGTGTGTGTATTAACAAGTGGGGTGTTACTACTTTAATGGAGAAGATTTATTTGCTTTAAGAAGTAACCCCCATGGGAAATGCTAAAAGTGCCCCTCCACACAGGAAAGCTGCTATCTCCTCCTCTGACTGTGTACTCATCAGCATCACCATCAAGGCCAGCATACTAAACACACACACACACACACAGCGGGAGAGCAAATGAAGGGAAAACAAGATAAATTTCAAAGATGTATCCTCTAGTTTTCATTGCCTTTATTGACAGAGATAAGACCAGGCCTTCAGCTAATCACAGCCTTTTGCTCAGAAGCAGTAAGCTGCTGGGTCAGATTAATTATCTCACCTAATTGCACTTTTCGAGGGTAGAGGGTAGAACCATCCTAAATTGTAACGTTAGTCAGTGTCGTGGTTTAACCCCAGCCAGCAACTAAGCACCACACAGCCGCTCACTCACTCCCCCCACATCCAGTGGCATGGAGGAGAAAATCAGGAAAAGAAGTAAAACTCCTGGGTTGAGATAAGAACGATTTAATAGAACAGAAAAGAAGAAACTAATAATGATAATGATAACACTAATAAAATGACAACAGTAGTAATAAAAGGATTGGAATGTACAAATGATGCACAGGGCAATTGCTCACCACCCGCTGACCCACACCCAGCCAGTCCCCGAGCGGCGATTCCCTGCCCCCCCCTTTCCAGTTCCTAAACTAGATGGGACGTCACATGGTATAGAATACACTGTTGGCCAGTTTGGGTCAGGTGCCCTGGCTGGGCATGAGAAGCTGAAAAATCCATGACTATAGTCTAAACACTACTGAGCAACAGCTGAAAACATCAGTGTTATCAACATTCTTCACATACTGAACTCAAAACATAGCACTGTACCAGCTGCTAGGAGGACAGTTAACTCTATCCCAGCTGAAACCAGGACAGTCAGTATCCTCAGGCAAGTGTCATATACCCTGAGATGAACAACATGTTTTTAGTCTATTTTTCCTCACACAGCCTCACCTCAGAGTGTGTTCAAGGGCAAGCAAACTTAGCCTGATCACTGATGTATGTTTACAAAGCCGTACCTATGCCCAGTGAGCAGGTACCTGTGCAGACAATCTGCTTCCCTGGATAGCTGCACTCTTTGTCCTGAGCCATAGCAGGCATTCATAAACAACCTTTGTGGCAGGAGAGTCTGGGCATGAGACCCACCTTGTATCCCTGCCTAAATGAAAACACAGAGATGGCCCAGAGACCTGGCCGGGAACTTGAATTTTAGCATGATTGCTTGGACTGAAACCTGGGAAAAGTAACAAGTGTTAAGCAGATGTTATATAAGCTCATTCTAATTTGTTGGTCAACATAAAGAAGCTCTAAACAGGTGATTATTCTATTTTGAAAAAACACATTTCAAGGTAAGAACGTAACACAACTGGGTGGCATAAACACACCGACGTCACTTAGGAAAGAACAGACAATTGCACACTAATTGCCTTTGTTCTTTTCCATTTTGATTTACAATTATCAAGGGACAGAAATTTAGTTTTTAGAGTGTGAGTTTCTGAGGACCTTTGTGATACAGGACCCTGACACTGACAGGGATTTTACGTAAAACAAACTTGTATTCTATTTATATGAGAAGTCTGTAAAACCACACATTGTAGAGAATGATGCTATGAACAGGTCCCAGTATCCTCGTCCATGCTAAGAAATAAATGCATTTGTAACAACAACAACAAAAAGCCCTACAGACCCTTTTCACAATCATTGCCATAACCTCAAACCAATATGAAATGTAGTATGAGATGTTAAATAGAACCAACATATAAGAATTAAAAATACTCGGGTGATAAGTAAGGGAAGCTGTCCCTGATTAAGCAGTGTCAGATGAATTCAAGACAAAAGAGTTGGGACTATTTTCAAATGCTGTCTGGCTTTTTTCCTTCCATAACTAAGTTGAGTGTATCCTGTTCAAAGCAAGTTTATTACACAAATTCAGTCCTGAGTTTTAGTACTTCCCCGTGCCTCCCCCCGTCCCCCCGCCCTAATGTAATAGCTCTTGACTTTCAGAAAATATTTTAGTGGGCAATTTCATGCAAGTGTCTCACAAAGATACACTAACCGCCATTTGATAAGCCCAGTAACAGGGCTGGACCTGCTGCCTTTGCACAGTGTATTTTATCAGAAGGATTTGGTGCTTCATTTCTGATTTATAGCTCTTACTGTGAATTGAAATTGTTGCCTTTGCTCTGATTTCTGTGATGCCAATGGACACAGAATCAGACCAGGAGATGGAAACTCATTATTGAAAGCTGAATTTATTTCTTGAATTTCCTGCAATGAGCTCTTGTAACATTTCTAGTACTTTGTTTCATATTCACATCCTTTGAGAACAAGTTTTACTATGCTATTTAATTCTGATCTTAAAATGTGATTTTAAATTTTGGTCTAACACTGGATTTAAAAAAACTTACGAAAGAACACCCAGGAAATATGCATTTTGATGTTGGGCTATAAAAATAGAAGAATATTCCAAGTTTGTACCTGGAACTACTAAAAATGGGTACAGGTCATACATGCCCCTGTATGCATGAGATTGAGGAGTTCTCTTTTCTGTGATTTTACAGATTATCTCTTGAGCTTTAAGGTTTACCTGAAAGTTCCACCTCCTGGATTTACAGGATTGGAGAAGAGTTTCAGTTTGTTTTTAACACAGAAAAGTGAGAGATTTAAGCTTTTTGGTTAGGAATGAACGGTTCAGGGTATGTCTGAGCACACATTGGAGTACAAATAATGCCAGAGTTTTATTACTTTAACAAAAGCTGAGCACTGGTGGCCCAGGCTGAAGATTTCTGAGAGCTTAGGTGCATGAGCTTCCCCAGGGAAGAAACCTCA